GGATCGCAACCCTCAGTGTTGCCCCCGTACCGGACCGGGGACCGGCAATGGGATTGCAAGCCTCGGTGTTGCTCCGGCGCCCCGCTCAGCCAGCGAGCGGGAACCGGTCTGTATGTGGGATCCGAACCCTTGGGCGGGAGCGCCGCCGCACTTCCCAAGCGGCGCACTATCCAGTGCACCACCGGGCCGGCCCATAAATAGTCTTTTTAATGAATGGTGCTAGGACAACTGAATATCTATATGCAAAAGAATGAAGTTGGACCCCTACCTTAAACCATATACAAAAATTAACTTAAAGTGGATTACAAACCTTAAATGTAAGAGCTAAAGCTGTAAAACTCTTAGAAGAAAACATAGGAGTAAATCTTTGTAATCCTGGGTTAGGCAAAGCCTTCTTAGATACACCACTGAAAATATGTGACAAAAGAATAAATAAATTGGATTTCATCAAAATCAGAAACTTCTGTGCCACAAACAATACCTTAAGAAAATAAAAAGTCCATAGAATTGGGGAAAATATTTGTAAACCATACAGATAAGGGACTCGTATTCAGAATATTTAAAGAACTCTTACAGCTCTATAATAAAAAGAGAACTTAGGTAGGCAAAGGACCTGAATAGATATGTTTCTGAAGAAGATATAAAAATGGCCAATAGGCATATGAAAAGATACTCGACTTCATTAGCTACCAGGGAAATGCAAAAGAAAACCACATTAAGATAACACTTCACACTCATTAAGATGGCTGTAATAAAAAGACAGGCAATGACAAGTGGTGGCAAGAATGCTGAGAAATTAGAATTTTCATACACTGCTGGTGGGAATGTGAAACGGTCCAGCTGCTTTGGAAAACAGTTTGGCAAGTCCTCAAAATGTTAAACACTGAGTTACCATGTGACTCAAAAGTTCTATTACTAAGTGTCTACCCAAATGAAATGAAAACATATGTCCACAGAAAAACTATAATTGAGTGTTCATAACAATATTCATAATAGCCCCAAAGAGGATATAACTCAAAAGTCCATTGACTGGTGAATGGATAAATAAAACATGGCACATCCCTGCAGAGGAATACGTGTTGTTAAAAAAAGAACAAAGTATTGGCATATGCTGTAGTACGAGTAAGCCCTGAAAACATCATGCTAAATGAAAGAAACCAGTCACAAAAGACTAGATATTATATAATTCTACTTATATAAAATGTGTAAAATAGACAAACATATAGAAATAGTAAGTTGATTAGTGTTTGCCAGGGGCTAGTGGGGAGGACTGGATACAGAATGACTACTTAATGGGTATGGAGTTTCTCTTTGGAGTGATAAAAATGTTCTAATATTAGACTGTAGTGATGGCTGTATGACTTTGCTAATATACTAAATGGGTGAATTGTAAGGTATGCAAATTATGTCTCAGTAAAGCTGTTAAAGATTAAAAAATATTTATAAAATAGGCCCAATAAAGCTCATTCGCCCATTCCACCAAGTGAGGATACAACTAGAAGGTGGCACTTATGAACCAGGAAACGGACCCTCACCAGGCACAGAATGTGCTGGTGTCTTGGACTTCCCCATCTCCAGAACTATGAGAAATAAATCTCTGCTGTTTATAATCTACCCAGCCTACAGTATTTTGTTATAGCATACTGGACAGACTAGGACAACAAGAAACCACGGAAAACATGCCATAAGAGAAAATATTGATTAAAATCTCTAGGAGTTGAATTTCCATTTGCTGTAGACTGGATGCCCCTCACGAACTTCACTGAAGCTTAATCCCCACTGTAACTGTTGAGGATGGGAAATCCTATTATGGTAATTGAAAGGCAGTGCCTTGAATAGGTGATTAGATTATAGGACCATGCCACAGTGAATGGATTAAAAATGGTCTCGGGTGTGGTTTGGAGGGCTTTAAAAGGGGAGCACGAAGAGTCTGTCTCCCTCTGCTCTCTCTGCTTCCACCATCTTGCAATGTGAGACCCCTGGGTCACTGTTGCCACCACCAGATGGACTTTAGACTTCCTAGGCTCAGAAACGGTAAGCAATAAATTTTGTCTTCTTTATAAATCACCCAGTGTCAAGTATTTTGTTATAAGCAAAAGAAACAGACTAAACACCATTTGTTATGTTTTTCTTCCTACAGAACTACTGACATTCAATTTTTGCCAGTTACGTAAATTGTTTTTAAAAAATTGTGCTGAAAGCTGAGTCCTTATTCTTTTCCAAAAAAAAGGTAATTGCCTTGCTTAATATTATCTTGAGAAAAAAAAAAGGCCCCAAAGGGAAGATATTTGGCTAATGATTATCTGATGAAGAAAGAGACAGTGAGGCAGTATAATGTATTCTAATGACTATGGACTAAGAAGCCAGGCACATGACTTCAAATTCCAGCCCTGCCGCTTATTGTCTATACTTCTTAGGCAAGTTATTTAACGTAATTACACCTCAGTTTACTCATCTCTTAGTACCTACTTCAAAGGGTTGTACTTAGATTTAAATGTCAATATATTAAAGAGTTTAGACAGTATCTGGCATAGTAAGCACTCAAAAAATATTAGAATTATGAAAGAATACGAACAACAGCAGGATTTTAAAACAAGTTCTTTTATGGCTGAAGGTGAAAGAGGATATGCAGTACCACTGGCTATGTTAGACTACAAAGTGGTAGGTGGCTAGAGGAAAGATGGAAAGGCATAATTACTAATAAATGTATGCCATCGCTGATCTCTATATTTTGCTTGATTATTAAATCAGAAGAAAACATTAAATGTAAAAAACAAGGTAAACAAAATAAAATATACAAATATAATCTCATGCAAAGATAGTAATACAGGAAAGAAAAAGTGACCGTTTCTCATCTTCTATAGAAATTAGGAAAAAGAATTTTACCTCCATTGAAAGTAACTTCTCCAAGGCAGTCTCTTGGTACTTTTGATGCACAGCGTTTATGGCAGTTGAATTTGCAGTCTAAAATAAAATATTCAGCTTATTAATTTATGTTAAAAAGTCAGCCAATATCACTCACAGATGAAACATTATTAGTGATGATGATGATGTTATAATAATAATAAAGTCTTCCTCTACTAAGAACTCAGGTCTCGGACTACAGGTCTGGTTTCAAATTCTGATGGCATCTCTTAATAGTTGTTTAACCATCTACAAGTCACTTAACACTCCCCTGCTGACTCAGTTTCTTCATCTGTATAATGAGGTTAATACCATTTGTGTAACACTACCAAATGTGCTGGTAGCTCCATGTTTCCTTCTCTTACCTCACATTCATCTTTCCACACCCCCAGTAAGAGTTTCTCAAGTTGACTAAATTCCTATCCAGCATATCTCAGGTACATATTTTCAATTCCTAAGTATATGGACCTGATGCGTATGCAGAAAAGAGACAGATTCGACAAATATTTATCAGGAATCTAATAAGTGCTTTCACATACAACCCTGTGAGGAAGGACTGAGTTTCTCAGGCACATGGTCTCCCAGTTTTCCATAATGGTTCTTTTCAGCCTGCAAGAACCTGAGTTGAGAGCATTGCAGATCAATGTCAGGTACCATCTGTTTAACACATATTTGAGTTTGGTTCTCAAACTGTAGTCCCCAGACCAGCAACATAAGCATCACTTGGCAACTTGTTAGAAATGAAAATTCTTGGGCCCCCTCCCAGACCTATTACCATCAACAACTCTGGGAGTGGGGCTGAGAAATGTGTGTTTAAATGAGCTCTTTGACACTAACATTGGGACCCACTGATGTAACTTTGTTTAACACCACCTTTGAAATGCAATAATTGGGTAAAAATAATTTTGAGTCCTGATTTAGGATGCTTTTGTAACTCATGTGAGTCAAGGGAATCCTGGGTCTCATGCCAACAGCATAGGCTGAAGGTCATTATATGAAAAAGCCCCAAGAAATTGATAATTTGGTGGATGATAAAGTTTGCATTATATAAAACACTGTCCTAGGGCTGGCCAGTTAGCTCAGTTGGTTAGAATGTGGTGCTGATAATACCAAGGTCCAAGGTTCGACCCCTGCACTGGCTAGTTGCAAAAAACAAAAATGAAAAAATAAAAACAAAACACTGTCCTCCTTATGAGAAGCCCTAGGAAAAATTCAAATATGGTGTTAATATTAATAAGCTGGCACATCTCTTAAACAATAGATTTGTTTTTTATCTTATGAACTTTGAAAATTGTGAAAATAACCAGGTTTTCATTTTCCCATTGAACACTCAGAGCCAAATTTGTGGGCCACCTGCAGTTAAGTATGTAGGTTCTAATAGCAGGCATTTTAATTTCTCTATCTTCTTACCCATGTTTTTTTTTAATTTGCTTATGCTTTATTATATCTTACTTATGATTTCAAACTGCCTTGACATTTTTATATAGCAAAGTAGAAAATAAAAAGATGAATGGATGGATGGATTGTCAAATGATCCAGCATAACTGTTTTATCTTAACTCAATTATTTCTTTTTTGTTTCTTAGCTTGAGAAAGGAATGAAAATGATAACTATTTTACTTTAAGTGTCTTAATTCATATTATAAAAATATAGGAATCACTGAAGTAAATTATGATTATTTTTTGATAACTGAAATAGCTTATTTGTACAGAAATAAACCCTGCTATTTTCTGAACCAATGTCAGTGCAAAACATTCTTCTTCTAGAACCCTAAAAAGAGAAACGAATCACCTAGTGGCAGAATTAACAGGCTTTATTTAAAAATTCATTAGTCTACATATTTATTTTAGTTCCTCTACAAAATGTACTTTTCTGCATATGGTTTTAGAATGTTTCTGTTTGTTTAGCAGAATGGCACTATTAACTATCTTTACTAAGATTATCTGTTGGCTACAATTTGTACATCTATTATTAATGTTCTTTCTCAAAACATTTCTCAGTGACTGCTTGCCAATACACTTTTGTTTTGATATTTAAAGTATTAATTTATGTCTTAACTCATACTCAAAGCAAGCTGTTGAAATAAAATTTCAATGTTTAATTATGCCTGCCTAATGCTTATTAAATACCTGACAACAAATGTACAACCTGTTCTCTATTTGATGTTCCCATACACTATCATATATTGTCAGAAAAAGCTTTCTTTTCTTCTATACTCAAATTTAACTTATAAACAATTATCTTATTCTGTGGTATAAGCAAGGATTTATTATTGCAAAAACCTCAACCCTAATATTCACCTGATAATGATCACTTGATAATTCAATTCCACAAATACCTGCTCCATATAAAAAAAGTATGGTACCAGGAACTGTTAAATCAATCACATGGAAAAAAGTATACAAGATTATAGTTAGATCACTTATTCTCTATCCTATGCAATGACTAATAATCTAAGACATTTAAACTATTTTAGTTTTCACTCTACTGTACAGCATTGTTGAAAAGAAGATATGAGACAAAAATTTAAAATAATCTTTAAGAAGCATAAAAGCTAAGGAAAAATTGTTCCATTATTCTATAAAAAGCCTGTGTCATTAAGAGATGTTTTGAGAATACTATGATAATGTGCTGGGTTAGTATTCAAATAAGGGTGGCCTGTATTATAATTTCAGTGATTTCTACTACATCCTATTTCCGTGTGATTATTCTCTGTAATGATGTTTTTGTACAATTCTCCTAGCTATATAATTAAAAACAAAAAAATCAGGAAAAAAACGTAGTATGTTTACACTTGTGTGTATGAATATTTAATGAAAGAAGAAAGCTTTATTTCTATTTTGGTAGTGTCTGGCTCTGGAATACAAAAGACTTAAACTTGACTGGCTGGTTAGCTCAGTTGGTTACAGTGTAGTGTTATAACACAAAAGTCAAGGGTTTGGATCCTCTTCCTGGTCAGCCAAAGACAAACAAAAGAAACCAACCAAACAAAAAACTTAAGTTCAAATTTCTGCCTTGTTGCTTACTAACTATTTTATATTGGCAAGTGTTAAACACGCGGGTTAAGTAGCCATGCCTCATGGATCCAAATTCTAGTTTTTCTGTTTACTAGCTATGTGATCTTAAGCAAGTTACTTAATCTCTCTATGCCTATAAAATGGAAAATGATAGCTATTACCACTACTAACTATATTTCCCATAGAGTTGCTTTGAAGATTGAGTATGTAAAGCTTGTTTTTTTAGCACAGTGCCTGGTACACAGCACACACACTGCAGATAGAAATAGTAGTTGTTAGTTCACGTATTTTATAAATATATGTATTTCCTTTCTTTTTAAACTACGAGAACAATTTCTCTGGCTAATGCCTCTGAAATATAAATATTTTAAACCTGTATTTGCTATCAAAAACAGACATAAATTTGACTTGAGGAACACATCCAATCCTACCTTTACATTGCATTCCTTGGCGAAAGAGGCCTTTCAGTAACCGCTTGCAGTACTGACATATTGTGGGACGGGTATAAGAGTGAACAGCAAATGTGTGTGGAACTTTTACTCTGCACATTACCATCTTTTCCATCCAGATTGGGCGACCACTCCAAGAAGGAATTCTCTTACTTGGTTCTTGGTGAACATGTGACTACAACATAAGTAATTTCCATATGTATAAGTTAATATTAAAAACAAAGAACTGGGATCAGAGCTTAACCACAAAAGTCATTTATTTGGAATGCTAAAGCCAAAAACCTAAAAATGTGGATCTCAGCAGTTTCCTTCGGAAAGCTTAATTTACCAACGCTTGAATAAAAGAAGTGCAGAATTTTTTTTTGCTATTATTTATGCTTAAAAAATAAATCTAAGATATGTTCATTCTCACGTACGCATTAACTGATTAGCTATTATTTGACAGGCATGCTCAGCATTTTACAAATAAAAACCAAAAACCTTGAAATGAATTTATAACAGATGTTCAAATCCCTTTAAAAACATGACCAAGAAATTAATCACAAGAAAAAGTAAATAAATTCAGAAGTATTATTGTTGCTCATGTTGCATTACTGAACAAGATGTCTAAAAATATTTTGAAACAAATCTTAGGTTTTCAAATTTATCTTAACAAATACTAAAATATGTATGCAAAAATTTAAGTCTAATTGATGATGATGACATAAATAATGGCAGACACAAAACTAATTAAAACAACTTTAGCCCTAGTAATTAGGCTTTAAGAAGTTCCTTGACATTTTCAGTATTTTCCAGTTGTTTGAGTTTTTTCTCCCCCAGGTAAATGAAAAGCAAAACTAAAGAAAGGGTCAATTAAAAATTTTTGTGTAACCTGTGGGATAAGTGGATTTTTGTAGCTGTGACCTTTTCTAGATAAAGGGAAGAATCAAACTGAATTATAGGCCATTTCAATGTGGCTCATTTTATTTCAGCAAACATTCACTGATTAATATATGGCAGGCCCTATACTATACATTGGGGACACAAAAATAAATAAAACAATCCATGTTCTCAAGCACAAAAACCAAATACCTACCTACCACCTACATGTGTTCACAGATTTTGTTGTAACTGCTTGCACCTTCACTGCCAGACCGAAGCCCTGAAACCTTTTAGATGCCTTCTATAATGTTTGTAATATTTGTAACTCAGAGAAGTTGAGTTATTCTACATTGCTATGTGCAACCAATGGAAGCAAAAGTCAGAAGAAACCAAGAGACAGAGAAGTGTTAGAGAGAAGGGGAAGAGAAAAAAAAAGTAGGAGGAGGAAAAGGAAAAGAAGAAAAGGACAGAACACATGAATGGAGCAGAGCAATATAAAAAGAACACAAAGGTAGCATCAGACAGTTTTTTACTATGTGTAGCCAGAAGTTTTCTAAAACAAATTATGAAGCAGTTTGGTTCAGAAAAAGTACAAAAAGCATGTTAAAACCAAAACCACACTTGCATGTTTCAATTGTATGAAGTTTCCTACTCTAGTCTGGCTCACCCTTCCTCCATGCTGCCATGTATGGACACCTTTAGCAAACAGAACACCACAGTGATTCTGCAAAACTAATTAAGAAGCCAGCAGGAACTAGAAATAGATATTTTAGACCTTTGCTCATCCCTGGCTCCCTTTTGTAATGGTGACTCAACACTGCTTCTCCTGCTCCTGCTTCTACCATTTTTGGTTTGTCTCAAGTTCAAAACACAAGACCGAGTAAGACTGATTTAGCCAGTCATCATCAAATATATAGGGTACACCTGTAAGGAAGAGATTTCATAACAGACCCCTTAATATGCCAATGGCCAATTTGTGACTGCCTTTTGGTCAGGTCCTGCTGGGATCAGGGTATTAGGGATCTTTGCTCATCCCTGGCTCCCTTTTGTAATGGTGACTCAACACTGCTTCTCCTGCTCCTGCTTCTACCATTTTTGGTTTGTCTCAAGTTCAAAACACAAGACCGAGTAAGACTGATTTAGCCAGTCATCATCAAATATATAGGGTACACCTGTAAGGAAGAGATTTCATAACAGACCCCTTAATAAGCCAATGGCCAATTTGTGACTGCCTTTTGGTCAGGTCCTGCTGGGATCAGGGTATTAGGGACATGGTATAGAGCATCCGTACCAGGAACTACTCAGGGGTCTGTGGTTGCAGCAGCCAATAAATGTATCACTTCCAGTACAAACAGTTATTTATGTTATTATCCTAATTTTAAATATGTATTTTAAAATGCTCAGAGGGGTTAATACTACCAAGTGGTATTATTAAAATCAAGATTTAAAGTTAGGTTTTTCTATACTATAGTTCAGTAATTCTTAACCTTTTTCCCATCTCCATATGCCTGGCCATACAATACAATCCCATTAGTAACAGTGATTTGGCACTCTATTGGATGAGGAAGGCAGGAAAGGTTTGGCAGAAATTGGAGGGAGAAGATGACAGAATTATCTAGAGAATTAGGTTAAAATGGGATCGCTGAGATTACTAACTACAACTGAGTAAAAGTTCTTTTCTAACCTTGCTTTAACGTCCCCTATTTACAAATTAGTGCTTAGCTTAAACTCTTTATTTCTTCCTTGTTAATGTATGGGCAGAAATTTTTTAAAAGTACGGTTTTTTGTTTTTTTTCTTTTCTCTACATCCTAGTCAACGCTTTTTTTAAAATAGCATCCATCCTTATGGGTATGATATTTCATTGTGATTTTGATTTGTACTTCTCTAATAGCTGAAGATGTTAAGAATCTTTTTGCTTATTGGCCATTCGTATATCCAATTTGCAGACATATCTATGCAAATTCTTTGGACAATTTAAATTAGGTCATTTGACTTTTTTTATCGACTTTTTAATAAGATCATTATAATATTTTATATATCCATCAGTCTCCTTATCAGTATACGATTTCCAAATATTTTCCCTGTTCTTAGATTTGTCTTCTCACTTTATTGAGGGTATCCTTTGCATCACAAAAGTTTTAAATGTTGATATGGCCCACTTATCTATTTTTTTGATTGTTTGTTACTTGTTCCTTTGGTGTTATATTTAAGAAATCATTGCTTAATTCAAGGCCACAAAGACTTACATTGTCTTCTAAAAGTTTTATAGTGATAGCTCTTACATTGAGGTTTATGATTCATTTTGAGTTAATTTTTGTCTGATGAGAATTAAAAAACAAAATTCACCTTTTTTTTGTATGTGAATATCTACTTGTCCTAGCATCTCATTTGTTGTAGAGACTGTCCTTTCTCTCATGAAATGCCTTGGTACTTATGTCAAAAAGGAATTGACCACAATTGTAAGGTGTCCTAGCATCTCATTTGTTGTAGAGACTGTCCTTTCTCTCATGAAATGCCTTGGTACTTACGTCAAAAAGGAATTGACCACAATTGTAAGGATTTCTGCACTCTCAACTTTATTGCACTGATCTACATGTGTCTTCATATACTAGTACCACACTGTCTTGACTACTGCAACTGTGTGTGCATAGTATGCTCTGAAATCAGTATGTGGGAGCTTCAATTTTGTACTTTTTCAAGATTATTTTGGCTAGTCTTTAGTTTAATTTCCATAAGAATTTTAACATTAGCTTGTTATTTTCTGCAAAAAAAGTCAGGTGAAATATTGACAAAGATTTTATTAAACCATAGATTAACTTTGAGAGTACTGTCATCTTAACAACATCTCATCAATATAGAATGTTTTCCTACTTATTTAGGTATTATTTAATTTACTTTGAAGTGTTTTGTAGTTTTCACTGTATAAGTCTTGCACTTAGGTTGCTAAATTTATTACTAAACATTTTATTATTTTTGATCCTATTGTAAATGGAATTTGTTTCTTGATTTTATTTTTGGGTTATTTATTACTCATGTTAAGACACACAATTAAATTCTGTATATTGATCTTGAATTCTATTATTGCTAAACTCATTCATTAGTTCTAATAGTTCTGTTTTTTTCCTTGAAATCTTTAGGCTTTTCCATATACAAGATCATATCATCTTGAATATTGATAGTTTATTCTCCCTTTCCAATATGGATGCTTTTTTTTTTTTTTTTTTTGCCTAAGACATTCTTGTATTATTCCTGAAAATAAAGAGAAAATACCCAACTGTTAAGTAGTGATGTTAGCTGTGGGTTTTCATAGATGCCCATTATTAGACTGAGGAAGTTCCTCATTTTTTGGGTGTTTTGGTTTTATTTTTGCCATGATAATTTTGTAAACAAATTATTTTTTCTATGTCTTTTAAAATAATCATGTGACTTTTTTTCTTCATTCTATTAATATGGTGTATCACATTGAGTTTTTGCATGTAAACCAGTCTTAGTTTCCTGGACTAAATTCTACTGGATTATAGGAAATAATCTTTTTATGTATTACTAGATATATTAGTTAATGTGTTAAGGATTTTTGCTTCTATTTTAGAAAAGATTGAGTCTGCACTTTTCTTGTGACATTTTGTCTATTTTTCATATCCGAGTAATAATGGCAACATAAGATTTGGAAGTATTCTCTTCTGTTTTTGAAACAAAGGCTGGACAGTTAGCTCAGTTGGTTAGAACTTGGTTGATGACACCAAGGTCAAAGGTTTGGATCCCTCTACCAGCCAGCAGCCAAAAAAATAAACAAACAGGCTTTCTATTTGTTTTGTAAGAGTTTGTGAAGGATTGGTATTAATTCTTCTTCAAATGTTTGGTAGAATTCACCAATAAAGTCACCTTGGTCCAGGTATTTATTTGTTGAAACTTATAAAATTATTAATGTAATGCCTTTGGTCTTCATAGCTTTATTTAGATTCTGTATTTATAATTCAGTCAGTTTCAGTAGTTTTCATCATTCTAGGAACTGACCATTTTATCTAAGTGATCTAATTTGTTTGTAGACAGTAATTTACAGTATTCCTTCACAAACTTTATTTCTTTAAGGACAGTAGTAATATTCCCTTTTTTATTTCTGGTTTTGGCAATGTCAGTCATTGTTTCTCTCTCTTTTTTTTCTTTTTAAGTTTTGGCCACAAAACAAGTTTGATACATTTAAAAAGACTATAGAAAATATATTCTCTGACCACAACAGAAGGACATTTAGAAAATTCACAAATGTGTGGAAATTAAACAATACTCTCCTAAATAAAAAATGGTAAAAAGAAAAATCAGAGGGAGATTAGAGAGTACTTTGAGATAAAAATCAAAGTCCAATATATCAAAATTTATATGATGCAGGGCTCATGCAGTGCTTAGAGGAAAATTTATACTTGTAAACACCTATATTAAAAGTAGGAAAAATTTCAAATCAGTAATGTGAACTTCTTTTTTTTTTTTTCCTTTTTGTCTTTTTTACTGACTGGTAACGGGATTGCAACCCTCAGTGTCGCGCCCATGCCGGGGAACGGCAACGGGATCGCAACCCTCAGTGT